AGGATTTAGGGTTAGGGTTTAGGTTTACAATTTGGGATTTTGGGTTGGGATTCAAAATTGGAGGTTAAGGGGTTAGGGTAATAGATTGATTTTGGCTTAATTGCAAGTTTGGTCACTCGAGTTGCTATAAAATTTCATGGTTGCCACTCAAAATAATTTATTCCATTTATAGTCACTTAAATTAGGTTAACAGTCCAAGTTTGGTCACTGGCCGTTAGTCTCCGTTAACTTTTGCTGATGTGGCGGTCAACTCTTATAGTTGACCGTTAAATGCATGACGTGGCAATTAAAAATAAAAAATAAAAATTTCCACCTCAAAATTAGAAAATAATAAAAAATAAAAACCTTTTCTAATTCTACACTAATTAAATGGGAGACTGCAAAAAATAAAATACATTGGGTACCAGAAAAGGGGGAAAGACAACCACTGATCTGGTCCGATCACCAGAGCCCTCCGGGACGCGCATACGCAGCTTCTCGCACGAGCGACAATTCCGGCAGAAGTTGCCAACGACGCGTTGCTCCGGTGATAGCCTTCTCACCGGCCTGTTCCGTGCAGGTGTCGTTTTCGATGTCTCCGTTAGGCTGATGCGCCCATCACTAGAAAAGTAAATGCTTTCATCCTTGTATTGGTGGCGCAAAGCCTCTTCCACGTGGCTCCAAAGCTCATCGAACGAATCTTCATCACTACCGCCGTCGCACTTATTCTTCGCTGCTGGCGGCATTGGTACATCTCTGTTCACGACGGACGTTATAGCCTTGAGCGGCTAACGGGTGTAAAATTTCACACAAAAGTAGAAACAGAACGCAGTGATTAGCTATATCTCTGCGTTTGGTTCCTTCCCTCTTATAATGAATCTCCAGTTTCGTTCGTGTATATATATGAGTAGGCCACTCTGTTTCCGTCTCCTAATCGGCTTCCGATTTTCACTTACACGAATCCCTTCATAAACCAGTTGGGACTATGTTTTCCTTTTCCGAGTAGCAAATTTCGACTAAAGTTAAGATCTTTCAAACTTTGGTACCCAAATCCATACCAAAATCCGCAGCAATTCTCCATCGCTCACAAAAACAGAGCAATTTGCGCCAGAATAATACAAATTCCAAGTGACAAAGAACCAAAACCCACAATTACTCCCCGCGATACATTTTTGCTAACCCCATCGCCATCCCCATCCTCACCCTCATCGTCGGACTCATCATCCGCCTTCACCTTCTTCGCCGCAGCCGGAGCCGCCGCTGCAGGGGATTTCTCCTTGGGGCCGAAGATAGCCGCGGGAAGCAGAACATCGTCCACTCGATATATCGCCAGATGGGTATCCGTGTAAACGGTTCCCGACACCATCGTGTTGATCACTCCGGTCGTCACGTTGACCGAATCCCCACTCGCCGTCACGTTCAGCAAGAAACGGTCCCCTGATCCGGCGTGCGTCTTCAGGGGGTTGCTCACCGTCTCGAATTGCTTCCTCGAGATGAATGTGGGAACGATGTGGAATTGCACGAGCTGCATCTTCTCCTGCCGGTTCAATGACCGGCCGGGGGTCTTCAATTTGGTGAACGCGGCGTCGCTGGGGCCGAAGATGGCGAGGCCGTTGTTGGTGTCGCCTAGCTGGGAGTTGAGGTTGGAGTCCAGTTGTGTGGAAGGGGGGGAAACAGAGAGACATGCTCTATCATAATGTGCTCAGAGGTCAACCGACGTGGAGTCGTGAACTATAGCTAATAATAAATCACCATGACGATTTGAATAATGAAGGTGTTAGTGGAAAAGAGCAGGCCATAAAGTAATCTCCGATTAGGGAAAGGGTAGTTAGCCATGGAGATTCAGTACCAAATTACTTGACCTTCTTCCCTTAACTGATTAGAGTTGTTGTTGGCATCTTTGACAATTGGAGTCGTCACCTTCGTCCAAAAACAGAGCAACCCAAGCCGAGGTTAGATTAGAAAAGGTTTTTATTTTTTATTGTTTTTTAATAGTTGAGGTGGAAATTTTAATTTTTAATTTTTTTAATTTTTTAATTGCCACGTCATGTATTTAACGGTCAACTATAAGAGTTGACCGCCACATCAGCAAAAGTTAACAGAGAATAACGGTCAGTGACCAAACTTGAACTGTTAACCTAATTTAAGTGACTATAAATGAAATAAATTAATTTGAGTGGTAAACGTGAAATTTTGTAGCAATTCGAGTGACCAAACTTGCAATTAAGCCGATTGATTTTTTATGATTCTATGTCATATCATCATATTATATTGAGAGTACAAATTGAAATTCAAAGTTTGATGTATTATGGACACTTTTAGAGTTGGTGCACCCAAAAAAGTGAGTGCGCCGAAGTAGCCACCTCATATAAATATATATATATATATATGACTTTTCTACTTTTGGTAGAAATGTTTGAATTCTGCTTGCTGTTTGATGATCAATTGTTGCTGGCCTTTTAAGGGTGTTTGACAGGTGGTTGATAGGTGTTTATATATTTAGTCTCTATTTAATAATTTTTAAATCTGATACAAAATAAATGATATATGGTCCGTTGAAGTTTCGTATGAGATTGAAAAGTTATTTTATTACGAGCCTGAAAAATCGCGTCCATTGGTCCAAAAGAATCTATCCAAAGAGTACCTACTTTCCCTCTTTACCTTTTTATAATATTGACTATCAAATATTCCTTTTACTAATTACACCCATTTGATAAGGTTTTATATATTTACATATAGAAAAAAATGGTATAAGTGATAAGTCTATAACGGCCCTATAACAAAAAATTGGATGGAAGGGTACGATCGTTACATTTTAATATTATTAAGAGTAAGTTTGTGCAAAAAAATTTAATAAAGAGGTGCGTTTGTTAATCGATAATAATAGAAGGTACAAAATGCTATTAACAACGAAACAAAATTGGTGGGTTCACTACTTAATTGGGAATTTGATTGGATTCGGACCCAAAGGTAATATTGATGGATCACCAGCTGGCCCAGATGTAAGTGGGGGCTAAGGGCTAATGGAGGGACCAACCAGGCCGAGGGAGGTTGCTTCAAGTTGTTCTCTCAAGCTTCATGTTTCGATTCAATATCTCTATCTTAACCATCAGTTTTATTTTATTAATCAAGCAATTAGGATAAACTATCATGCAAATATTATAAGCCGTACTTGTTGTTGGAAATGAATAGTTTTCTTGTTCGATTTTTAACACTTGTCTCATGATAACATCAAGTTTTTAAGTCGCGGGTCACCATTAGCTTGTGAGACTTTATTTTATTTATTACCAGCTTGTGAGACTTAAAACACGATTTTTTTGGTCTAATCTGATTTGATCAGTACCCTAATAAGCTAAATTTTCAAGCTACTTTCTTTATATAATTATTATTTGTTCCGCTTCCAGCTTAGTGTTTCACTTTATATTAAGTTATAATAATTGCTAAAAAATACAAACAAAATGCATCACATCAACGCCTATGCTACTCTTCATCATTAGAGATTGGACTACCGTGCTTTATGATAATAAGTAGTTTGCGATTCGTTAGATCTTGTTTTGTGAATTTTTAGTTTTTTTTTTTTTGACAAGAGGAGAACTTGTATTGCAATAATGTCAAGGTTACAGGGGTTGAGAACCACAATGAAAGCAGAAAACAGAGCAACAATGGAGTCAAATGTGAAAGCAATCTAAATCAAAAGAGAAGGCCAGAAACAGAACAGTAAGTAGATTGAACCCAACAAAAGAATCTCCACAAAAGGATGCTAACATTGAGAACCCAGAACCCCTTGCTTCCACAACATTCAGCACAACACAAGCAAGGTTCCAGCTCGCCCGAAACCAGACAGGCCCATGGCTATTGAACATTGCAACGCCATAAGCCGCCACCTGGGGATCGTTCAGAGACGACCCATCACAGTGAATCTCATGGAAGGGATTACTCGGCGGTGGGCAGGCTGAAACCGGGATGCTCTGAGCTGAAAAGGCCGAGGAAGCCGGAGGCACGGATGACCAGGAACCGGGAAAAATGAAGAATCAACTTCATCTCCAGGAAGCCAGAGAATCAAAGCCAACGAAACCGAAAATGACACCACACCCCACTTCAGTCGGCAGCAAGTCTTCAAGAAAACCAGTGGAAGAAGGAAGGGAGGAACGGTGAATCTGCTCACCAAAAGAGATGAGCACACCAACAAGGAGCAGAACCCCCAACAGTAAAACACCATTAGAAGCACTCACAAGTTGCAACTTTCAGATCCAAGGAGCAAAGCCAAACCAGATCTAGAAACTAAAAAGAACACTGTGGATAAAACCACTTGGAGAGTGACCATGAAGGTCCGGAAAGAGCCACCATGGGCTGGAGAAAAATGCAGGGCAAGCCAAACATAAAAAAAGAACAAGTAAAAATAAAACATTGGGCCACCGCCGGTCAGCAGAGGAACACCGGCGGCAGCCCTGAGCAGTGAAAAGGCGCCGGCCTTTAGAGAGAAGGGAGAGCAAACGGATTTAAAAAAAGTAAGAGAGAGAGAGAGCGTTGGGTTCCGAAAGGAAGATTTTGTGAAATTTTTAGTAAGTGAAGCGATTTGGTTTTGTGTTAGACTGTTACTGAATGATGTCATCACTTTGATTCGATACCAAGGAAGGACATATACAGAGCCCTGCGATATGTAGTATGTACCTAAGAAAGACACTTGCTTTTATTTCATAACAACAATAAAGGACCATACGAACGACGCCCAAAATGGCCAAGCAACGTTGTTTCACGTCTCAAATGTATACATATATATATATATGAAAGTTTACAATTGATTTCCTTAAGATTTCATAAGGGAGAAAAAAAAGTACAAACAAAAACCACAAAGTAAAAGTAAAAGTAAAAGAGTCACAGTCATGAGTGCGGAGTCTCTTGACCATCCGACCAAGGACTGGCCCACGGTTATCGCGGCTATTGTCCTTGGCACGGTGGCTGTAGTCTACGGAGGTTACCTGTGCTTCTGTTGGATCCGAAGCACGTTTTTTTCTGGGCCACCTCATCAGCAGCCTCCTCCACCACCTCAGGAGCTCCAGATGGTGCCGATTCCGGTGGCTCCGGAGCTTCGGCCTGTGTCTCGGGACAGGCTCGCCTCACTCCGTGTACGTGAGTTCTCGACTCATCGGGACGGAGAGCAGATCACCACCGAGTGTGGGATCTGCCTTGAGGAGTACAGAGCTGGCGACCAGCTCTGGGAGCTACCGGCCTGCAGGCACGACTTCCACGTCGCCTGTCTCGGAGAGTGGTTCCGGTCGCAGTCCACGTGTCCTTACTGTCGACAGACCGTGTGAGCAGACACAGCACATCAACAGAAGAGAATTGAGTAGACAGTGTGTAATAAAAATTATGAATTAAGTGTTGTATACGAGATTTAGTAGTAATTTTGTCATACTTGTATTAATGATTACTTAACCAATTGTATGAAATTTTGAATGCTAACTAGAAAGACTATACTTTTATATTAAAAAATGTGTTCACCAATATTAACACTCTATACTAGTTTACTACCTAACTATATTCCGACCCCAGTCAAACTCTCTGCCTTCTCTCTCTATTTCAAAAACTCTCTGCCTTCTCTCTAGTTTTCTTTTCAAGCCTCAATCGAGGGCTGTCGCCGGCGTCCTCATGGCGACCGACGGTGGCCCTCCCCCCCTTTTATGTTTCCTGCATGCTTTTGATCTCTTCTTCCATTTCCATTTCCAGTCCCTCTATGGGCTCTTGCTTGAACCTCACCGTGGGTTCCTTTCTTTCCCTATCTTTATGATAGGAGTCTTTCCCGATCCTTTTTCTGGTCTGTTTTAGATCTAGATTCTTGGGTCTTTTGTTCAGTGACAAAGGGGGCTGCGGATTCTTTCTTCAGCTTGTCTTCTCATCTTCAAGCCTTTCATCTACCTCCTTGTTTTACCCAACAGATTGCGGTGATTCGGAGATGCAGTGGCCTTCCTTGTGATTCGGCTTGGATGCGGTTTGTGGATTTTGAAGGCAGAGACGCACCATTCAGGAGTTTATTCAGCCTCTTCTTGCTTCCTTCGTCGGTTGACTGATTGTTTTGGTTGGAGGTTCTGCTCGTTTGTGTCACTTGGTGTTGATTGGAGTGCGATGTTGCTTTCCTCATGGCGTTCCCCACTGGGTTGATCTGGGTTTCTTTGGTCAGAGCTTCTTCTCTTTTGGTTGGCCGGTGGAGGTAGCAAGAAGCGGCGGCTGAGTCTCCCTTTTGGTGTCTTTCAAATTTCAGATAGGGTTTAGGGTTGAGCCTCTCGGTTGGGTTCTTTCATTGGGCTTCATTGTTGTATTTGTTGTATCTTTTTGGGCTCTCCTGTTGGGCTTTTTCCTTAGCTTATTTGGTTTTTGTGTCTTTCCATGGGTTGGATGTTCCCAAAACTTTGTTCACTTTTGCAGTTTAATGAAACTGTTCCTTGTCAAAAAAAAAAAAAAAAAATACTAGTTTACTATTGTAAATTGATCAACGTGACGTCCCCTCCATAATTTTCTTGTACGAACGCTTTGTTCAACTATAATCACGTAACAAACATACTCTTTGTTAATTCATCAACTATAAAGTCACCTTAATTACCCTACAAGTCATCAAACTTTACATTACAAATAATCGACATGGTAGAAGCTTAACAAACTTGACCTTACCTAAATCTCTAAACCAAACCCCATCCAAACCATCCTTGAACAATATCGGTAAAAGTTAAAAAAAAAAAAACAAGGTTAAAAAAACCCCGACTCCTTTCCCCCTTCCCACTCACAAAAAGGGCAGCGGTGATGGCGGCCAGAAAGGCAGCGGTGGTCACAACTCACAACAACAAAAAATCCCAGAGGTGGCGATGAAACCGCAACAGCTCCAGCAGATTAGCGGGTTGCCGCACGCAGCGGAATCATCAAGCCACTATCAACAGCTGATTCCTCCCTACCTTGGGCAGCAGAATCAGAAGTCGGTCAAGTTCGACGAAGAGTCAGTTCAGTGGTGACGATTACGACGGCGAGGCTGACGAGATGGACGCCGTTCGTCTCACTAAGGCGAGGATGACGATTACGGCGGGATGCTTCCTCCTCTGCTTTAATTTTTTTTTTTCTCTCTCCGCTCTCTTTCTCTCAGTTTTTTCTCACTTATTGCGGTTGGTTTCTCTGGATCAGCTCTTTTTTGGTGATGATCGGAGTTCGAAGTGATCGAGTGGAGAATTTGAGAGTTTATGGATGCAATCAGCCGGGGAAGAGCCAGATCCGGTGGTTCTGTTTTGATTTCAGATGATTTCTCCATCTCTTTCTTCGTCAGATAGTTTGTTCGTTTGATTTTTTTTTTTTACTCCCAAAGGAACCCGTGAATTGGTGGTCGAATTCCAGCCACCACCGAGTAAGATCGAGGAGATGGACCACCCAGGTCTGCACCCGTGATTGTTTTTGCATCTTCTTCTTCTTCTTAATTTGTTTTCTGCAGATCCTGTTCCTACTTGATTTCCGATCGAGTACAACTGATTGCTCAACTTCGTTTACCCCTTTCTACCATCGAGTTCCCTTCAAGCAGCTAACAGTCATTTGGTTGCTGGTGCTCTGTTGACTGGCTCGATTGGTTTCATTGCGTTTCTGCATCTGGGTTCTAGGACTAACATGAAGAATTATCCTTTTGGAGGTTGATTCTATGGTCTCTCTAGATTCTTTCCTCCCGTCCTCTGTGCTTCTTTCACTCCTCTGAAACATACTTGTTTGGTTTCTGTTGTCCATTTCAGACAGTCCATGCTGGACAGAAGCTAGAAGAAATCGGTCTTGGAACTCAAATCCCTGCTCCCATTTTAAGGAAAATGCAACCTCCTCTAGTCTACCAGGTGTGGTGCTGGCAAAGCTTCTGATTGAGAACCAGTCGTTAATGATCTTCCCCTTCAACTTTTTCCTCTTCTGATCTCGTATTTATGGTTCTATAGTTAGCTCATAGATTCCCCTTTTGTGTGAAGGAAGGTAGATGGAGCAGCCATTGATGAAGTGTTGCAGAGCATTCTGAGCTTCCTTTTACTCAGAATGAACGAAGAAGAAGACTGGCTCCAAACGACGTCGATTTGTCTAAGTGGTAAACTCCACAAGCCGGATCAGCGTCGTATGAAGAAGAAGGAAGTTGTTAGATGTCGATGTACAATAATAAGTCATTTGGCGTCTTTCTAATAGTTTCAGCTTAGTTACCGTTTGTATTTAGTTGCTTTACTCTTTCCTTTGGTAAAGTAGGGTAGATTCCTTTACAGCTCTTTGCTAATGTATAAGGACCGCAGAAAACGGAATGAAGGCCATCTTGGCAAAATTTCCACAGCTCCCTTTGCACATTCTCTCTACTCAATCCCTCCAGGAACCCTAATTCACCTCCATGGTTTTATACTTTCTCATGGTATCAGAGCCTGGTTAGGTTTCTGATCCTTCCTCCTTTCTCATTTTCCTCCATTTACACCACAATACTATTGCTCTGCTTTGATTTCTGTCTCCAACAATGACGGGCGAGGAGAGCTCTGATGGAGGAAAGACTTTAGCCTCACGATATGAGGATCCATACTCCAACCCCTTATACCTTGCCACGAGTGACAACTCTTTTCTTCCTGTCATCGAATTTATGCTCAACGATGACAACTATCTGCTCTGGAGCGAGTCCATGGAGGTTGCTCTTCGAACCAAAAAACAAATGGGGTTTCATCGACGACACAGTTAAGGTACCTGGTGAAAATGATCCTTCTCGTAGTACTTGGGATAGATGTAATGGTACTATTTTGTGTTGGATTCGTAACTCTGTGAGTGAAGATATTGTACCCAGTCTTAGAAATATCAGATCCTCTGCTGAGGCTTGGACGTATTTGAAATCAAAGTTCAGTCAAGGCGATTCTGTTAGGATCGCTAACTTGCAGGAGAAAATTGGTCTTGCCAAGCAAGGCAACCAAACGGTTAGGCAGTACCACACCAACTTGAAGTTGTGCTGGGATGAACAGCAACATTATGAACCTATACCGTTTTGTGATTGTCCTTCTCGAACTTATGAAACTGTGATTAGGTACCAAGATAGGAGGAGAGTTATCTGTTTAATGCTTGGGTTGAATGAAATTTATCAGCAGGTCAAAACCCAGATATTGATGCTTGATCCTTTACCAGACATGTACACAGTATACAGGGCTGTGGTCCAACTTGAGAGGAAAATGGGTACTACAAAACCCAAGACCACAACTGATTCCATTGCTCTTGCTGCACCTTCTAACTATCCCAACCAGAGAAGAGATGATAGATGGGATGGTGGCAGAGACAGTAAGAAGCCACAGCAAGAGCTGTTTTGCCGTTATTGCAAGAAGGACAATCACATGATTGAGGATGGATACAAGTTGAAAAACAAAAGGAAGAATGAAGCTTGTGGGAAGAGTTTTGCAGGCTCTATTGAGATAGGGTCAGGAGAAAGTTTGAACTCATCAAATGGTAGTGCACAAAGTCCTACCCGCCCTGCATCTGACAAGAGAAACCGTCAAGAGGGACAGTCTCTATGGTTCTCAGCTGAAGAAATCAATAGACTCAGAAGCTTACTTCAGCAGTCAACCAGCCCCACTTCTCAGTTCCCTCAGTCTAACTCTGTTACTACTCATCCCACTGCATCTCGACACACTGTTTCAGGTAGAACTTATCTCACTATCAACCTTGAGAATGTTGCTTATGCTGTATGGGTGCTAGATACAGGTGCATGCTAGTGACCATATAATTTGCAATAGAATTTGTTCTTGAGATGTCAGGGTGTCCAAAATATACATGTGAATATGCCTAATGATCAAAAGGCTAGAGTTACACATGTAGGATTAGTTAAGCTGCCTTGTGGGATACTTCTAACCAGTGTCCTGTTAGTACCAAGTTTCTCTTACAACCTCATTTCTGTCAGCCAGTTAACCAAAAATACACTTGTCTCACTTTTGTTTGAATCAAACTTCTGTTGTGTTCAGGACCTCATCTCTCAATAGAAGATTGGTTCAATCCGGGTAGATAGAGGGCTATACTTGCTTGGGAGTGAAGCTGAGTCAACCAACACCAAGCTTGTGGAGTGAAAACCAGTCAGGAGTCAGCCTTATGGCATTCAAGACTAGGACATTTATCTTTACCTAGATTACAATCCATTCAGAAACATTGTAGTGATGTTGTTTTACCTTCTTCCTCTCATTGTGAGATTTGCCAGTTATCAAAACAGAAACGTTAAGTGAGTCCAGAAGTAAAGCTGTATTTGACTTGGTACATGTGGATATCTGGGGGCTAGTTGATGTTGTTTCTTTAGATGGTTTTAAGTATTTCTTGACTGTGGTAGATGATCATAGCAGATCTGCTTGGTTGTTTTTGATGAGTAGTAAATCTGAAGCAAGGCAACTCTTGCAGTCATTTTGTTTAATGGTTAAGAATCAGTTTGAGAAATCAATTAAGATCATACGATCTGACCAAGGACATGAATTTAACATGACAAGTTTTTATCAAGAAAATGGAATTCTGCACTAGATGACTTGTGTGAGGACTGCTCAGCAGAATGGCAAAGTGGAAAGGAAACATCAGCATCTGCTGAATGTTGCCAGATCACTTAAAATACAATCAGGCTTGCCAGTTAGCTTCTGGAGTTTCTTTGTTCTTCATGCAGCATATTTGATAAACCGTATCCCTACACATGTGTTGGATAATAAGTCACCTTTTGAGTGTCTTTATGATGTGCCTCCAGATTACAGCAATCTGAGAGTATTTGGTTGTATGGCTTTTGCCACTGTGTTAGATGATCACAAGGGCAAATTTGATCCCAGAGCTAGAAGAGCTGTTTTCTGGGTTACCCTTTTGATATTAAGGGATGCAGGTTATATGATTTGGATAATCATCGGGTGTTCATAAGCATGGATGTTGTTTTTCATGAAGAAGTGTTCCCTTTCCAGCAATCTCAAGCATCTGTTCATAAGTCTGTCCCTATCACTGATCCTCCTAGTGATTTTCTTCCCTAAAATTCTTCTATAGATGATTTAGCGCAAACTATTTTGCCTGTTGATCATAATGTTCATGAAACAACAGATCCAGACTATTCCCCTTCTCCTTCTTCGTCTGGTTCTGAAATCCCTGATTCTCCCTATGATTCTCCATCTCTTGTACCTGTTCCTTGTCCATCTCCAGGACCTCCTTTCTTGGATCTTCCCATAGCCATTAGAAAATCCTCTAGAACAATCAAACAACCTTCTCATCTTTCTGATTATCATGTCAGTCTTCTTACATCTTCCACATCTTCTCATGACTATAAACTTCTCTACCCACTTAGCAAATGTCTCAACTATGATCAACTATCTCCTTCACACAAATACTTCTCTCTCTCTCTATCACTGTTATACCAGAACAACAGACTTATGCAGAAGCTATTCGACATGAGATCTGGAGACGAGCCATGAATGAGGAAATGTTTGCTTTGGATGCCAATGGCACCTGGGATATTGTTCCCAGACCACTAGACAAAAACATAGTTGGGAACAAGTGGGTGTACAAGGCTAAGTACTTACCTGATGGTGTAATAGAAAGATGCAAGGCTCGTTTAGTAGCTAAAGGATACACTCAAACATATGGAGTTGATTTTACTGATACTTATTCTCCAGTAGCAAAAATGAATTCAGTTAAGCTGTTGTTAGCTATTGCAGCAATCAAAGGCTGATTTTTACACCATATGGATGTTAGTAACGCTTTCCTACATGGTGAATTGCAAGAGGAAGTGTACATGGAACTTCCTCCCAATTTGAAGGATCATAAAGGAATGGAGGGAATGGTCTGCAAATTGAAGAAATCCCTATATGGCTTGAAGCAAGCCAGTAGACAATGGTATCTTAAACTCAGTGAATGTCTGCAGAACTTTGGCTTCCACCAGTCCTTTGATGATTACTCTGTCTTTAAACTGAATGCATGCTAAGGGATGTTGTGTGATTGTTATTATCTATGTTGATGATCTTATCATCGCTAGAGATAATTTGCAGTTGATACAAGAAGTTAAATGCCACCTACAGTCATCCTTCAAGATCAAAGACCTAGGCAACCTCAAATATTTCATTGGCATTGAAATTTCCAGCTCTGCAACAGGCATTTCTCTTTCTCAAAGAAAGTTATGTTTAGAACTTCTGGCCTCTTCTGACTTCCTGGAATCCAAACATGCCAAAACTCCTATGAGTATGAAGACTTCTCTTTCAGCAACGGATGAGACTCTTCTCTCTGATGGTTCAGAATTTCGACATTTGCTAGGGCAACTTCAACACCTGACCACCACAAGACCAGACATCTGCATCCCTGTCCAGCAGCTCTGTTAATTTTAGGGGGCCCCTACCACTGTTCATTTGCAAGCCTTACACAGGGTACTTAGGTACTTAAAGTCCTGTCCAGCTCAGGGCTGATGGTTTTCTGCAGCAAGTTCCACTCAACTCAGAGGTTATTTAGACTCACCTGACGCCAGACGTTCAGTGACGGGTTATTGCACTTTCCTTGGTGACTCTCTTATGACATGGAAAAGCAAGAAACAATCTACAATGTCACGATCCTCGTCAGAAGCTGAGTATAGAGCTTTGGCTTAGTTGTCGTGCGAAGTGTAGTGGTTGAAGTCACTGTTGGAATTTTATGAAGTAAAACATTCTTCTTGCAGTAACGGCAAAACTGTTGGAATTTTATGAAGTAACCCTAATTCACCTCCAGGGTTTTATACTTTCTCGTTTTGCATATTCATATTAGCAGGCAGGTTGTTGTTGTAGTAGCTGTTGTGCCCTCATGGAAGGATGCTTGAGAAGTTTGCTGATAGTTTATGAATCTTCATCTTCCACTGCTAGATTCAGGCCAATTACTGATATAACATTTTAACTTTCTTCCTTTAATCACATCTTTGTAACTCATGCATATATTCATTTCTCTTTTAATGCATATAATCAGTCATCACCACTTTGCTTAATTTTTTTAATTAATATATTCTCGTTGACCACTTTGTTTAATTTATTTTGACACTACAACACAACGTATTACTTGTTCATCAATTGACATAAAATTAATTTATTATACTATAAACAAAATTTCAATTGCAATAAAGACCTAATTCGACATCTTTTCTACTTATGCCTATTCGGTTTTTTCCCCAACAACCCTGAAAATTATCCAGCGACAATGGCAATTCCACTAGTTTTGATTTTACAAATTGCAACTGCAATTGTAGAAAGAACATTTTCCTTCATAACACAAGGTATCCATTTGATCGATCCATAAAAACAAATAAACCCAAGCAAAAGAAGGGGCGGTACCCTATACTAGAGAAATTGTCCACTCCC